TTTTTAGATCGACAGCTCGTTCTCCTCTGCGCTAAGTGCCACTTGAGCACTTTTACGGATTTTCTTCTGAGAGATGTTCTTGTTTGAACATTATGCAAGTATTAAAACGGTTAACGCTAATTATATCCTTGTATTCATTTTCTGTTTAAAATTGAATGGTGATTGTCAGGAAATTATTGTAAGAAACGTCAAACTAAATGAAAACGATTGGAACTGCGGGCGTTTATCTTCTCTTAACCTTAACTACAGAAATGAGATCTCTTAACCTTAACTACAGAAATGAGATTTCTTGACCTTAACTACAGAAATGAGATCTCACAGACTCAGCTGTACCCGAAAATACAACCCGTCCTATTTTCCCTGCGAATTTATTCCCCCATACTTTTTATTAATACAACTCTTTATTACTTTTATTTGGATGCTACAATGTTTAACCTTCCTTAAAGGGGTTAACTTTCGCCCAGTTTAGTTATTATTCGCATTTTGTAGTGAAAATAATTGAGGTGAAGTCTGGGACTATGTGTCTGTGTTCATGATACTAAAAAACGTTTATTATGAAGGATTAAGGAAAGGAAAACAATTCAGGTATTAATAAGAAATAGGTGGTATGCGTAAAGTTGGAACTTTTGTCCGAAAAAAAATCTGAAGTCAATGCTCCTTTTTAATATCGAATCGGCGTATACTTTTTTTTGTTTAAGAAGTTCCGCGACTCGGGAAAATCTCCAGACCAACTAGAAGTGCCCATTCGATGGATCGACGCCGGGCAAACTCGCAGACTCGGAGTTCCGAAGAGACGAAAGTCGTAACGCGATTCATGTAACCCAGGGCATCCCTAGTCGCGCAAGGAGTCGGGGGATTCTGGACGTTCCCGAGGGATGAATAGAAATGATCTTGTTTACTGGTCCTGCTTCTAGAGGTGAGGCAATATCCCAGCGAGGATTTTTATTGCCGCCAAGGAGGTACCTTTTCCCTGGTGCTCGCGGATTTCTGGAGTCCCACCAACCGGATTACTAAAAGAGTCCAATGTAACTCTCGTGTCCTCCTTGTCGTCTCTCCTGCCCTAACGAAGGAGCTCTCGTTTCACATTAGTTTTGCACTTCCTCCTCTCAATGGAATGCATATAGCCTGCGGGAAAAATATCCCTCGAGGAGGAGTAAAGTCAGGAATAAAATCGCTGGGAGGAACCGCTGCCTCTTGAGGGGATCCGAAACAACGAGAAGAGCTTCAATGAATTTACGGTCTCGTAAACGATTGAATGGGATTAATTGCCTCAAATTAAACCGGGCTAAGCCAAAAATTAAGTGAAACTAAACGTATTATTCCATTTCCACGTAGATGCACCTCGACACGGCTCAGTGCTCTTGTCTCCGTTTAATTTCCTCTAAACGAATGACCAAGTTGAAAATGTTTATCTCGTATAAACCGCATGAAGGCACGTGAGGATTTGGAGGATGATACAAGAATTTAATATCGGAAGATGTTCCCGAAATCGATCTTATTCGAACCTCAAATATACAGGGTGTTTCCTAAACATGCGGCAAAAAATTCAAGGGGTGATTCCTGGGGTATTTTTATGATGAAAAGTTCATATAAACATTTGTCGAAAAATGCTTTCTAAGGGAGCTACGCCCCTTCAATGGAGCACCTTAAAGACGGTTCTTCCTTAATATTTTCGAAACCGTCCATATTAAAATTATAAAATTTGGTATACTGCGTAAACTTTTGACGCTGAATCAGAATCGGAGCTCAGAATTTCAAAATTTTAATCAGGAGCGTCCTATACCAAAAGGGTTAAGGGTAAAAATAACCCCATTTTTTAATGGGCATTTTTTTTACATCTTGATTTTAGAATGATACCTGAAGGATTTTTACGTAAAAAAGATACTCTTATTTCATATCGATAAGGCTGATCGTTTTCGAGAAAATTGCAAATTTCTACTATGCACATTTTGTCTCCTTGGGCTCCATTTAAAGGGAAGTAGCTCCCTTAGAAAGCATTTCTCGACAAATGTTTATATGAACTTTTCTTCATAAAAATACCTCAGGCATCACCCCTTGAATTCTTGCCACATGTTTAGGAAACACCCTGTATATATTTATGTTCACTTTTGTAAGGTTGAGGTTTGGAGATTGTCCGATCTAACTTGTATAAAATGAAATAACGTTCTATTCAGAGATTTTTCGAGCTTCGATTCAATGGAATCTTTCCAAGGACTTTGAGGTTCTAACGAGATAAATGAACTCCGAGGCTCTCGGTACGCCAAATGAGAAGTAAATTTCTGTCGAGAAACTGGATGAGCGAGAGAATAGAGGATGGACGTCCAACCGAGATCGATAATTTCCTCTTGGGTGTAAAAAATTAAACGAAGCAAACGGGCCCTCCGAGGGTCGCTAAAAACAACGTCGGTGGCGCAGGATTTACTGCGCCGAAATTCGGCGTTTATCAGAAAGCTCGCAACAAAGTTCTGCACGCGCCCTCGAATGTAGGACAGGGAATTCAACACATATTTCAAGGGAATTATCCGAAACGAGGTTAACTGAGAAGACGAACGAAAATAGTGCACTAGGCACCGTCTGCAAAACGCGACAACACCGAGATACAGCCTAATTACTTAATTACAAATGTAATTAAACGACGCCCGGTGGTGGCGGCAAATTCTCACCACCGTGGACTCAACGCCGCTCCGTGAATCATATGTCGCAAACAAGGAGATCCAGGTTCGCGAATTGAGGGCGGAAAATCCAGAGGCCAGGTCGTAGGAGACACTTTTAACGAAATTATTCGAAACCGGGTCGACCGAAGAAATAAAACTACCGCCGGAGGGGTGTTCTCGAACACTAAAAGCTCCCCAATGAGAGAGGGAGGGAAACGAGACGTGTCTGCAATTAATTTCGTCGCCCCCTTTTTCACTTTTTTTTTTCCCCTCTCTCTGCTTTTCCTCGCAGCACCTATTATGTTCAATCGCCGCCCACGTGGCAAGGTGAAAAAACCTGCCGAGAAGTGGATTTTCATTCCTAACGCGTGAGGGGTGTTAAAAAGACAGCCAATTATGGGGACGGAAATTTGCGATAGGATTAGATTCGTGGTCACGAAAATTTCGAAGGCCTTGACTCAGATTTAATGTCGGCGGCCAGACTTTTCTCGGACAATGGACTGCGCGGGATGGGATTTGCGTTTTACAGGCCGTACCGGTTTGTGCTCTCATTCTTTTTCCCGACGACCGGTGGACGGCATTTTTTGCCATTTTCAAAGTATCCTCGCCGAAGGACAACCGGGATTCGAGGTTAGATCGAGCTCGATTGTAACCAGAGAACGCCTATTGCGAAACTGCAACGAGATCGACTGTTTCTATCCCTTCTTCGAAAAACTACGTCTTCCCTGACGAAATTAAAGCTTCCCTGAGAAGCATAAAAAGATGGAACGAGGAAAGAGTTGGATCGACTTCCAATCAACGATCGACTTCGTATTGCTAATAAATATCACGATATTGGGAATGAACGTGCTAGGGTGCGCAAATACTTTAACAAGAAATCCTATTATTTTCATCATTAAATTAATCGAACGGGGCAACGAAGCGAATATTAATCGAAGATTAGATTTGTAACCATGTATGTAAGTTATATTTCTGATTAATTAGAAGCTTACTGAGTCATTTCAAAAGTTCTGGTATTTTTGGGGGCAAACTTTGAACTAACATCCACAAACGGAGCACTGAAAATTAATTCTGCCAATCTGTAAACAGTAATCGGCAAATCAGTCAGTTAATAAAATTGGGCAAATTAGTAACATGGTGAGAAACGTCGCCGGAAAACGACAGAACTTTGGAAATGACATAATAAATCTCTAATTGTTTAGAAACATGATTTACATGTTTGTTCGATTTAAATTCTAACAAGTGTTCTAAATATCTTCAAAGCAGTAAAAACTCTGGTCATCTTTAAGAACAGTAAACAGTAATCGGCAAATCAGTCAGTTAATAAAATTAGTCAAATCAGTAACATGGTGAGAAACGTCGCCGGAAAACGACAGAACTTTGGAAATGACATAATAAATCTCTGATTGTTGAGAAACATGATTTACATATGTTTGTTCGATTTAAATTCTAACAAGTGTTCTAAATATCTTCAAAGGACTAAAAACTCTGGTCATCTTTAAGATCCACTGTTTATAGAACAAAATTTATGCGTTCTATATCGAGTCGTTCCGTAAGTTCGCGGACACTCTTTTTTTTTTTTCCAACGAAGTTACTTTGCAGATAATTGCACACTTAAGTAAAACGACCGGAAAGGTTAATGAAAACTGCAAGAAGTGATCAGCAGGGACAAAGAATACATTATTAATTAACGCGTATTTTTGTAATGAAACTAACAAGGTATTAATTAATAATGTATTTTATATACACATACGTACATTATATTAAAAAATAGACACGTTTGATGGCGACAGTGACTATAAGGGACCTAATCATAAATAAAGAAAAAAGGAATGCAACAATACTCGCGAGTCTCAAAATCTTGCAATGAAAAAAAAAACAAAGAATACATTATTAATTAACACGTATTTTTGTAATGAAACTAACCAGGTATTAATTAATAATGTATTTTATATACACATACGTACATTATATTAAAAAATAGACACGCTTGATGGCAACAGTGACTAAAAGGGACCTAATCATAAATAAAGATAAAAGGAATGCAACAATACTCGCGAGTCACAAAATCTTGCAATGAATTGAGATCTCTCGTTTAATTAGTCTTTACCATTGACGGTGTATAAGGCGTCGATAATTTACTGAAATTCTCCCCGAATTGACGGTTTTAAATATTCTCAAAGGCAATAATACCGAGAGGACATACGGAGAGCTTCGCGGTTAAGTGAATCACCCCGGTGCTGTCAAAGGATTTTATTGTTGTGTTAAGTAGGTCTTTCGGGCACTGACGCGACCTCATTGTCAGGAGCACAATGCTCAAGATGAAAAGTCGAAGATTAAACTCACCTCTCAGGATTTGGTAGAGAAAGACTTTTATGTGGTCCGGGCTGAGATGCTGAGGGCTGACGATGATCTTGTGCAGGTCGCTCTGCAGAAGTTCCGTGATCACGTATCTGTACGAGGCTAAGTTAAGGAAATTTTTCAACGTAAACTGTACATTGTCGTTACATAACATTCGCTTAATTCGGCAGAAAGAAAATACCGCAATTGCGTCCGCGCTGTTTAAACGGTCCCCAACCGTTAAGCCGCTTAATAAAAAAAAAAGTTGTAACATCTAAAAATGAAAATCGTGCAAATCAGAGACTACCAGGTATCGTTTAAGGTAATGTAAAGAAATACTAATTCAATTTTGGTTTAAGTAATACTTATAATTACCGAGACGTCGGATCATAGTCTCCCTTCATTATGCAAATCGATATACATAAGTGGTTATCGGGTTTACGCAACTCACGATTTTTAGATACCGCATTTTATCTGGCGAGTAGGGTAATTACATACATAATTTCCCAAGGATTTAAAATCCTAAAAATTTCTCCAAAAAGTATACAGGGTGTGCCGTAATAGATGGTAAACCTCGCAAGGGGTGAAAGAGGATGATATTTGGAAATTTTTTTCTTGTGCTATATGATAGTAATAAATTAGCAATAAATTTTGCAACAAATTTTATTGAATTGTGATAAAGTGGCAATTCCAGCTTTATATACATGCGCTATGGCTTGCGGACTTCGGCCTCGTTGGTCAACTTTAACTACTAATAACTCGATGAAGAATGTTCCGAGCAATGAATGAAAAAGGAACTTCCAGTTCAAAATGTCACCCTTTCATCCCTTAAGAAGTATATTATGTATTATGGGACACCCTGTATATAAGTATATAAACATTAGAACATATGGAAGAGTGAATTTCTTCGTCAAAGATAACTTTCCTCTTATTCCTCCCCCAAAAGAGAGACTTCATACAATGAAATTACGAGATTCTTTACGTGAAACTCGAAGTACATTTTTTATTTTTCCTACTTTCAAATTCAAGTTCAAACACTGTCTGGAATAATAAACGACGGAATACATTACGGAATTACGAGTCGAAATGTTCAATCCTAAAATAGAATTTTTTTCTTTTTTTTTTTCGAAAATAAGATCTGGAGCAAGCTGCGCTATCTTGCTCGATTTGCCCCAAGTCGCGGAACGCACAAACCTCGTTCTCGAAATGAGAAAGACGAGGCGAGGGTGGCCCACCGAAGAACCGGGCGGGACACTAATTTCCCGAATAACCCCTGCGAGAGGGGGAGTCGCCGGGACGTCTGGAAGTTACGGTTACGTTAAACTCGAGCTCGACGATGATTCCGGGCACGGTTCGGGTCTGAGAAGTTGCCGACGATAAAGCCGCCGGGAAGTTTCCGGGTATCGAGTGAAGAAATAATTTCGAAGTGCCGCTCCGAAGTCGAGCAGAAGTCGCGAGAGTTTTCCGGCACCCCCAGGACTTCCAAGCGAACTCATGTATTCCCACCTACCCCGAAATGTAGAGAAGGGCTAAAGCCACCTTATGAAAGTGGGCCCCGAAAACGCTAGGGTTCCACTTTCTCAGGAAGGGGCCTCCCTAATGTTGAGAGGCGTAAAAATCAATTCTGATTTCGATTCATCAAGCAGAGCTTCATGAACAAGGGGAAAGTGTGGCTTGAAAAGCCGATTAGCTGTACGTGTCATAAATTGTGCTTTATGTATAAAAAAAAGCTCTTTCTCGAAACAGCATTTTATTAAATCAGGAATCGTAATATTTCCAAAATGGACGATTGAATCTACTTGAAATTCTACAGTTCCTATTCGGTGGATGTCTAATTCTTGCTGGGACTAGAAGCTTTTCAATTCATGCAAAATTCGGAATTTGCAACTCAAAAAATGAACCGCTCTTTTGCGCATAATTAAAACTTTTTCTTTGGAATGCCGCCGTTTTAGTACTTTTATTTATATTTTTAGATAATTCTAACTCCAACGATAGTCGTACTGGCCGCGTTTTCGGATATTACGAAGTAAATGTGAAATTATTAAAAGTTCAATTGAAAAACGTAAGAATGCGCGATTTTGAGATTTCGTGATACATACTAACAATTTGCAATTATTTGATCGATTGCTTATCCATCCAAGTCATATCTTAAAATCAAATCGGTTCTTAGATATGAAATTTTGAATTTGGGGGATTTTAGTTCCAGGAAGCCATGCATCTAACAATTAGCATTTTTTTCGCTTCTATGCCAAAACGATGGTAATACGAGGTCTAGGAGGGAAAATTTAATTGACCTGGAAATCACAGATGGCGCAGTGTCCCCCTGCAGCCAATTAGGGCCTCGGAAAGCATGAATCCAGAGGATTTTTGGAGTTTTACTTCGATTTCTTTATAATTATTGTACGAATACGCCAAGTGGAGTATGCCATTTAGTGCAGTACCCAATATAATTCGACGTCAATATAAAAAGAAACGCCTGCAATGTAGGTATTTAGAAAAATCTTCTTTATCGACGTGTTTCACTTCATCTTAATTCATGCCGACTATAAATCTGTGAAACTGTCACAAATTCCCTTCCAATTTGAAATTGGAAAATTGGAAAATTGAAAAAAGGATGGGTTCAACAATCCCGGTACCTCGGTTGCACAAAATAACGTTTCGAGCTTAGCTCCCTTTCCGTTCCTTTCTTCCCGCTGCGATGGAAATAGTCCTACCGGGCCCGGCAAATGTCGATTACCGCACAGGAACTTTTTCCCCGCTCTATCGAAAAGGCGAATTAGGTTCGGACACGAAAGCGAAGTAGGAAAAGGGAGAGACAGAAATGGCCCTGTAGCGGAATGAGGTCGACCGGGTTGTCAGGAATGCAGGTGCGCACCGGCTCCGCCATCTTGGCAAGGTACGTACCAATGTCGACCGGTCGGTTCGGTTCCGGACGCGACTCAGCTTCCTCGAACTATCTCCTATTCGATAATTCGACGTCAGCTCGTCCGATGGTGCGATCCACGTCGATTAAGGCGAAGTGAAACAGGTCAAGAAATATGACCGGCGTCGGTAAAAAAGATTCTTCTAAATGCCTACGTTGCCGATGTTCGTTTTTATATTGACAGCTGTGTCGAATTGTATTGGGTATTGTACCAAATGGCATACTCCACCTGTCGTTCTCATACAATAATTATAAAGAAATCGAAATTAAACTCCAGAAATCCTGTGGATTCATGCTTTCTGGGGCCCTAATTGACTGCAGAGGACACCCTGCTCCATCTATGATTTCCGGGTCAACTAAATTTTCACTCCGAGACCTCGTATTACCATCGTTTTAGTATAGAAGCGCATAGAACAATTTCTTTTACCTTTATCCCGTGCAAATGCGAGTTTCTTGATTACCAGAGTGTTCTAAATTGTCGTAAAATTGTCCTGACCCTTTCGATTCTTATATCAAAGCCTTCGATAATTGTATATTGATCGAAATATGAGAGCTCGACACAATTTTGGTTCTGGTCTGGGCCGAGTTAGCAAATTTAAAAAAAAAATCCAAATTTTGAATGTGTCAGGACAATTCATAGATGATCAGGAGTGACGTGTCAAAGTTTCGGACTGTTCAGTCTAATACCCTTTAAAAAAAGTGTTGTATTCGAATCGACTGATTTGAGGGGGGTTTTCCTTCACCTTAATGGGAGCGAGGTGTGGGTTACAAATTAAGAGGTACCTCCGCCGAGAAATCGCTTACATAAATGGAGTGGCGGCCATCTTTCCAGCCTCTAAATATCTCAATTTCGATGCCTCTATCGAAAATCAATTTCAGGCACGTGGGACGCGGCGTCAAACATGGCCGTCGTAAAATCGATGAGTCTCGCTTCTATTTCGATAAGCGGCATTCGGTTAACTCAAAGAGCAGCTTCTCTCAATAAAAAGGACATACATAGTTTCCAGATCCTAAGATTAAAGGAAGAAGATATACGGAAAAGACCTCCACGGAGGATCGTTTCAGGAGAAAGACCGACACTCGCGCTAATGGACGGTGGCCCAGCGGAAAGAAGCCGCGCGATTGGCGGACCCTCGCTTACTCGCCGGCAGGTCCGTCGACCGGTTTCTCTCTACAAAATATGTTCCTGCCATTTCCATCAAGAAACGGGGAAGGGTCTTTCCTCCAAATATGAGTATCAGACGGATAATAAGGTTCCACAATTTTCTTACCATCGTAGGAAATCAACGCGCCCTTCTTATGAATAAAATATTTATTTAAATCAGCGAAATCTCTACTCGAAGGTTCATCGATCATCGAGGATGAGATATCTCTGATTTGTTTTTTTTATATTTATTTTCAGGGAAAAAAGACAACCGGGAACGATCGTTGTAGAGAAAGATCGATACTCGAATTAGTCGGCGGCGATCCAGGGGAAAGGAGCCTCGTGATTGGCGGATTTATCTTCCGACAGATCCGTCCAGTGATTTCTTCTCTCCACAAGATGTAGGTTCCTTCCATTTTCTTAATGAAACGGGAAAGTTCCTTCCAAATGTGGATAGCAGACGTATCAGGGAGTCCCATTCGTTTGGGATCAAAAAACCGACTCGCCATACTTGTATACCTAACATATTAAATTAAATCAGGGAAAAATAAGCGAAATCTCGATGCGAAGATTTGTCGTTAAGCGTTGTGAAAAACAACTAATAGAACTTCCTTGTACGTCCGAAATTTTAATTTAAGTCCGCGAAAGAGGAACGAAGCCTCGAATCGAAGGTTCAGCGATCATCGCAGTCTGGATATAAGGGATGTCTTAGGATTTTTTCCATTTTCAGGATAAAGAAGGACAACCTGCCGGGGAAGAATCGACGCTCGGATTAATCGGCGGCGGTCCAGGGGAAAGGAGCCTCGTGATTGGCGGATCCTCGCGTGCCTGCCTTCTGGCAGGTCCGTCGACCGGTTTCCCTGGACAAAGCGCGCTCCGGTCTCTTCTGCGAGGAAGGAGCCAGGAGTCCTTCTTCTTTTATGCGTCTCTCTCCTTCTGCCGCTCCCGAGGGCGAGTCTCTCCCGTCTCTCGGTCGGAGGTTTCATGGAAAGGGATCCTGGACCTCGGGTTCACCGTCGTTTCCTGTCTGCCGCAATTACACCGCC